ATGAGGCATGAAGCCAAGGAACAGTTAATAAGCCAAGCTTTGAGCTATCATATCATTCAATATACATTTATTAAGTGTATGAAGTGTGTCCTATCACAGGCACTGATATACAAAGATGGACAAGACAACATCTCCCTTACGATAACAGTCATGTTGGATTTGTACATAAATAAGTAATCATGATGCACCATGATGAGTGCCCAAAGAGACAGAGATCTGTTGAACAGAGGTACTATGAAGCATAGAAAGTATGTGGGAAGAGTTTCGGAAGGCTTCCTTGAAGAAGCAGTAGAGTAGAAAGCATTTGCAAATTAGAATACATTAGAAACCAGTTCAGCGGCTAACTGGCTATGTCGTTTAGCCAGTTATTTAACCTTTCTACCCCATGGCTTCTCAATTAACGAAACAAAAATAATAGCCAGGCACAGTGGTGAAAGTGAAATCCCATCTCAAAAAAGTGGGCAAAAGAAAATTGAGGATAATAATATCTATAGAGCTAGCCTGTTGTAAGAAGAAAAAGAGATCACACATGTAAAGCACTCAGTTTCCTGCAAACAAGAAGCACTTGATAAATTGTACTGATTTTATCAGTTAGGAGTGATTTCAGGTGCTTCATTAGCAGCAGCCATTGTACCACTATTACTGGTCTCACGGCAACTTGTCGGGTTCACATGTATTATTTTTAGTCTGAGTTAATACTTTAGCTGGAGGCTACCTATCACTAGGAGGACAAAACTAAGAAATGTAGTTTTAAGAGTAATCAAATTCATAAACCACTTTCTATAAGGCCAGAGTTCATTAAAGAGGAATGCAAAGGTTATTACATTAGCAACATCAATAGGAAAGCAAACACAGGGAAAATACATCTTATTTGCCACTACAGGGGCGCTACATAAGCCAGCACATGTAGTAGCAAATATTAGTATGTCTGATTAACACATCACTACCAACTGTCATCATATGGTAAGTATAGCATGAGAAAAAGGTAATGTAAAAATTTCAGAAGTATGAAATGGTAAAAAAAGAAAAAAAAAGATATATAGGAGGTATCATTAGAGTACTCCTCAAGGGATAAAGGAATAAGAATGTAATAGAAAAAAAGAAGTACCCTGAATGTCCTAAAGGGCTTATTCTTATCCTTTAGGCAATAGGGACTTTAAGGTGACATAAAGCATGTTGATTGTTTTAACTATTGATTCTATTATCATATGCAAGTTTACTACAGCATTGTATAAGCTCATAGGTATATTCCTTCAATTCCAGGGTATCTTTGTCACAATATATGTTTGAGATATCTTTTGTCAGCTATATCATAATTTAAATGAATCCTGTATTGTTTTTTAAGAGCAGTGATACTAAAAATAAAGTTTGCAGATGTCCCAAACACATACTTCACTACTTGTCTGCCTATTAGTGATAAAAAGTTCTCCTTCCCTTCCTTTTATTCAGTCCACATGTATTGAATATTTACTACATAAAGTGCCACACACAATGCTAGACTCTTGAAGAAACCTTCAAAGTGATCCTGTGTTAAGTGTAATATGCACCCTCTATTCCTATGCAGATTGAATAAAATATGTTCTCAACAGATGTATCTTTCCCCAGCATACTTTTAAATAATGATAAAAACTTTGATGCTTTCCTTTATATAACTTTCCCTTTAAACTGTTAGGTTTTTTTTTTTTTTTTAAGTTGGTAAAAAGGGTTTTTAAAAAATCTGACAGTCAGGTGAATAGGAAGTGAACAGAATGAAGAGGACGGAAAACAGACCAGCCAAGTGCTCTCTAATTAAAGTCTGTTGTGTGAAGCATCTTCCAAAAACACAAGAAGGCTGAGTCTTACCAATAAAATTCTCAAGAAATCCCTGCCCTGAAGGTATTAAAGCATCAGGGTAGTTATTTCAAGAGTGGATTCCTTCAATCCCTATAGTTTAAAAAATCACCACCTTCATTTGCTGTTGTTTTTTTCTGTTTTCATTTTCTGTTTTTTTTCTTACTGGCGAACTCTATTCGGCACCCTTGAGATAAGTCATGTAATTTCTGTAGAGTGGTCTAAGCCTAGTGAGAGGAATATGGAAATTTACAAGGTTTTGCTGTGCACAGGACTGAGGACCACTAGATTTGGGCTCCCTTCCCTACTGCCCTTTTTGACACCGGGAAGCCACGTAAACCTTCTGGGGCTCAGTCACCTTTTCTGTTACATAACGATGTGTTTGTGGAATCCTGAGTGTTCTGGGCTCTGCCATGCAGAGGAGGATGAGAAGAAACAGCAAGGTGTGAAGGTCTGGTCCAGGAAACAAAGGAAGAGTTTAAAAGCTCTTACTCTGAGATGGTGTAGACCTTTGACTCTTGCATATCTTTGTTTCCTCTTGCTCTGTTTCTTCTGGATGGCTTTCTCCCTGGGTGTGGTATCGCAGCCTGGATTACCTCCTGCACATACAGTGCATAGCAGTGGGTGGCTTTCTATGGGGAACAATTCTCACCCTTGAAGCTCATTTACTTCATCATCTTTTGCTGCCTCTTCTGGCCAGAGGTTAGGATTTCAAAGTTCAAGACTACAGTGTGGGACTCTATAATTTATTTTATGAAGAAGGCTCTTCTTTTTTTTTTTTTTTTTTGAGATAATCTCACTTTGTCACCCTAGCTGGAGTGCAGTGGCACAATCTTGGCTCCCTGTAACTTCTGCCTCCTGGGCTCAAGTGATTCTCCTGCCTCAGCCTCCAGAGTAGCTAGGATTACAGGTACTCATCACCCCGCTGGCTAATTTTTGTGTTTTTAGTAGAGACGGGGTTTCACCATGTTGGCTAGGCTGGTCTCAAACTCCTGACCTCAAGTGATCCGCCTGCCTTGGCCTCCCAAAGTGCTGGGATTACAGGTGTGACCCACTGAGCCTGGCCAGCTCTTCTTGTATTCATTCTTGTATTCACTCATGTATTGAGCCACTACTGGGTGGGATAGATCCACAGACAGATATAACAAGAGCATTGCTTCAAGATGACAATGTAGGAGGAAAGACCAACATGATACATACTTCAAAGGATTTTAAAAATATAATGTCATGACAATCAGAACCTGTTATCACTCCAACTGTGATCTGTGAACTAAACATCTGGTGTTTTCCAGGGAAAGTACAAAGTTACATTTCAGATCTTTTGTTGATTTTTAGAAGCTCTTCTGGAGCATCTATTCAGAGGTCAACAAGTCTGGCACTACTTCAGGTGCTGAGCACTAGGATTTGCTACACACACAGTATTGGCTGCTGCAATCTTACAATCAATTAAAATGCTGAATTTATTCCAAGGATTATTTGGTTAGTTACCTCGGAACAGGATTTTTTTTCCTTGTGCTTATTCTTACTTGAACTTACCTGACTCTATCTATTGTGGGTCCCTGGATCCCTGATCAGATCTTTTCCAATCCAAAAAAAGTGGCTGTTATCATAAACCTTATATTGATGGAGCCTGTTTCCTCTCTTACCCACTACACATCTAGTGCATCTCCTGGTCTTCATGATGTACGCCTCACATTTACTGCAAACACAGCAAGACTGTCACAGCTCTTAGCACATATATATATATTTTTGTTGTTGTTGTTGTTTTACAGAGAATCACTTTGCTTTATCAAGTGTTGAGTCAAAGTGTTACGTAAAAGTTGACACGCCTGCGACTTATTTTTAACTAGCAAATCATAATCATCCCACACTGTCTAAAGTACTAAACTTAACATATAAATCATATACCCTTACTAGAAAGAGCTAGCTAGAAAAATGTAAATAAAAAAATTAAAATTGCTAAACTCCCTCATTATGTATTTATAATTATCAGTCAAATTATTAACTCTGTTTTCAGAATTTCTGAAATAGGTTGTTGATATAAAGGAAGCTGTTCAACAAAAACCTCAACAAGTATAGTCTTAAAATCAAATCAGTGAAATAATCTTTTAAATGTTTAGCTCGCTATCCATTAGCATTTGCATTAAATTTCAGCAACAGTGGTTGTTTTAGCTTTTTGGGATATTATTTTTCTGCACAAACATACTGCAAAGAACACACTTGATAAAAAATAAAAGTTATTTGTTTTCATACTTTACACATGACTTTCCAATAGCACTAATCAGATTTTATGTCCATAACTATGGGTATAAAGTAATTATTTTATTTCTCAAATAGTAGTCTGGATCCCCTGTCCATATTCTTTGCTCATATTTACTGTGTCATTTGCCATTAGGTACCACAGTTACCTGGACATATGTCCATTTGCCTAGTTTGACACAGCTACTTAAGGGTAAGCATCATCATCTACGGAAAAGTATAAAATAAGTCAGGGATCACAGAACCACCTTTGTTCACAGTGATTACCATTATGTCGATAAATGAAAAATAAAGAAGGAAACTCTCTGAAAGAAAATGTCATGTATTCAGGGATGGGCATTACAATGGGAATACAGATGACACAGTAACGCATGTACGAATCAAGTGGAAGAGTCTCTTGTTCTGTGTCCCTCTGATTCAACTTCACCCCTATGTATCTCCAGATGAAGGGAGGAAATTGAAAATTCATCCTTAAGCTTCAAGTACAGTACCCTTTCTGATATGGCTAACAGTAGTTTGGGTAACACAATATTGACTGTGGGTTGCAAAATTAATGCAACATATTAGCAGTTCTGAATCAGACAAGGGGTCAAAATGGAGGAACTGAGGCAAATTTATGTGCTGGAGGACAGAAGGACTACAAATAAGAAACAAAGAACTGTGGCAAGGTGGCAAGTATTGAAAAATTTGGGCAATGTTAATTAATGACGAGGAAGCAAAAAGTGTTGGTTGCCAAAGAAGGTATTTGAAAGTCTTGATTCGTTCTTGGAAATGCGGGACTACAGAAAAAAATAAATAAATACAATTGTGAGAGAGTTTTAAATGAAGCTGGTGCGATGATACTGAGGCTGCCACACTGTCTGGATTGGTTAGTGTCTATGTCAGCATGCAAATGGGGTGCTTTTCCTTACCTCCAGATGCTCTAAAATATAGGGCGGATTTGTCATGCCAAGCCTCAGCATTGCTCCCTCAGGAATCACTTCAACCAGTTTCCACAGGAGTGTGGGGAGATTGGTGCCAATATCTCTGCCATAAGCCCCCGTGTCTTCACTGGTCAACCATATCTCACAAACACCCTCTGTGAATCAAAGGAGATAATTAACAAATCTGTGGCAGAGCTGTTTCCTTCATCATACAGCTGCTCACTCTTTATAATGCAGTATTTCTCAACACTATTATTCAGGCAGTCTGGGTATTCAATTGCAAAGAAAAAGCAGCTTATCCCATGGTGCCAGTGGGTTATTAAGTTCATTTTACGAACACCAGAGAGTTACAACAATGCTGTAAATTATCAGTGTGTCCTGTGAAGTGATTAACATTCACAGCCAATCAGTTCAACTGTGCTTCCCCCAAAGCACTTTGATCAAGACTAAAGCCTCAGTCCCACCTCAGAGAATACCTATTTTATTGAATACTCTAAGCCCTGGAACTGAAAGTCACTTCACAGAACAGGTACTATCAGCAGTTAACTCATGAATCAGTATGGCACCAACCTAAGGAAAAATGCCAAGTGTAGTTAAGGTTTAGCTCACATATTATTAATTATTAGGTACCCATTTTTCTCATAGCAACTATTCTAGTCTGTCTTCGTTATTCAATCAAAAATAGTATTCATTTTATTGCTGCATTCAAAAAAGTTGGTTGCTGCCTAAACTGAGTGTTTGTGTTGGAAAACCTGTTTACTGACAGCTTGCTTTCTATTTTCCATAAATCAGACTTTAGGAAAATGCGTATATATATATTTTGTGGTTATTATTGTTATAAAGAATCCTGACTTCACATATCATACCCTGCAATGATACTGCTTCAAATGTCCAGAGGAAATACTTTGGGATCCCCCTCATGTTATTTAAAATGAATAAAACAGAGTTAGCAAGAGCCATTTAGGCTTTCATGGCACACAGAACTTTTCTGAACCCATACTCAATGAAATGATCAGCCTATTTTAAAAGGCCAAATGATTAACAAGGCTAAAACAAACAATGAAGTGAGCCTGTGAAATTTGTTCACGCTCAAGTGGTTTGTCACTTCTGCAGAACCTCAACACACACATAGGCACACAAACTGAAGACTTTAGCCTGAACTAAAGTATAAGTTTCTAGAAAGTGTCTTCAAATTATAATTTTAAATTATCTTTAGTTGACAGAACAGAAGAGTTTCAAAAATACATTTAAATATTCCTAGCCAAGAGAAACAACAAATAAAACACATGGCTTTTATGTGAGTGTGGACTTAAAACTTACAGAATAAAAAAGTATAAAATAAAGATCTTCGCTCCTCTTAATATGTTCCAAGAGGTAGAAAAAAAAAACAGCATAAAGATTTCCAATCACTATTATTTCCTTTAGCATAAGAAATACAATTACTTTAGCAAAAAACTAAACCATATAAAAACATTTTCACTTTTTCCTGCCTATCTTTCTGAGACATACACATCCTCACACCCACACAACATGGAAAATACAAGGATATAAATAAGATTTTAGTTTCCCCAAATTAAAGAATCAATAACTTAGCATTGAGAACAGAATACATAGAAAAAAGATCACTTAAAAAGCTTTTTAAAAAATAAAAAGCTCAATACATTTAAAAAGCTGAAGATATTTTTAGCATCTGAAAATTAGCAGTATTATGGATATATGGGTTTTCATAGTTTAAATTAAATACCTAGTTCCAGAAATAATAAACCTTTGCTTAATCTTAATCATTTCATAAAAAGCGTTATCCTCCAAAGAAATAGTCTGGCATGTCCATAGGCTATTTTTAGAGGCATATAATTTTATAAATATTCTCTGTAGATGAAATAAATCTTTTTCTATTTAAAAAGTGGACTGAAATTAGTGGTATCATCTTTAATATTATATCTGCCATTAGACACTGGACTCATACAATCTTTTTTTTTTTAACAAAATCTTATCAGAAAATCCACTCCAGGAAAAGAGATGGCTAAGTAACAACATAAACAGATTTTAAAACATTCTGAAAGAGGTTATAAAAACAGGACATTATCCATGATTTTCCAGTTACTGGCATTTGAGCAACACAATATGAATATTTTAAAATGAACAGAATAATTTTAATTTATAATTTTTCCATCCAAATGGTTCCATGTTATGCCTTATGTAGAGAGCGCGGGTTCCTGGAACAGTGCCTTGCTGTTGCTAGATGAATATAGAAAGGGAAAAATCGCTATGAATAGGAATGGAAATAACATCCATGGAGAAACAGCAGCCAGCTCTTCAAGCTGCATAGGTGGGGACCAATAGCCCCCTGGTGGGCTGAAACTTCAAATTAAATCACATAAAGAGGAAGCAGCTGTAACACTAAATCAGCAACAACAGGAATAATGGTCTTGATGTCTCCAAGATCAAGGCTGCTAAAATACTCTACATAATAGCAACCTGGTTTAAAACACAATGGAACGAAAGAGCATGCGCCAAGTGAAACCCTTGGACTTGAGGAGAATTTTGCTTTGCCAATTCAATTCAAAAATCTGTCAAAGATGATCTTGTTCTTAGTCAATGTGAGAAAGTTCAGCTTTTGTAAGGGTGTATTTCAAGCATGAATCCTAATGAGAATGGATCCCTCAAACAGTTAGGATATGGAAGTCATTACATACTAAAAGTGACGCTAAATGTGGAATCCCCACGCCTGACATCCTTTTCCCTGGAAAATCTCCTGATTAGTCATAGCACAGGCAGTCCGGGACAGGCCACGCTTGCATATGAAGTCACCAGAGCACCTGAGGGCTTCAGTAGTCACTAATGGACACACATTGGGACACAAGCTTGTATCCGCACACTTAACTGGCTAGACTTATGAACAGAAGTGCTTGCCTAAACAGCTTCATTTCTTAAGGACTTCAGTTATGAGCTTTATTTCTTTGCACATTCAGTTCTCAATTCATCCAAACATTTATTTGGCCCTTACCGTGTGCCCTGCAGCTCTTCCAGCTCACAACAGATACGGATTCACCATTAAAATGGCTATTAGCTAAGAGCTGGCAGGGGACACCTACTAACACTTACTAACCTCAGCGACCCTTCGCATCCATCCCTATTGTCAGTGGGGATACAATGGGACAGCCTTCAAGAACACAGTCTTAGACCAAAATGAAGGGTCTGCTGGGCTGGCTTAAAATGGACACAATGTCGGCCTCAGTAAGATAGTCTCAGTCTGCACTAGAACTTGGAATTTGATTAGTATATGTCAGGAAAATAAACACATGAAAATAAAAAAGAGATGCAAGCAGGAAGCACTAAGATAAGAGAGAAGTGAATGCCCATTAAAAACTCCCAAGCCTGTAAAAATAAATATATGCAAAAAAAAAAGAAAGTGGTAGGGTAGGAAGGTGGGAGACAGAAATTGGGGTTTTTTAAAGCATCCAAGGGAAGATTTTACTTTTTTCTAAAATTGTTCATCTACTTGACTTTTGTTCGTTTTCCCAAAAATTGTTCAGTCAACCCAACTTTTTAAATGAACATTTTGTTCATCAGATCATCCACCATCCTTTTGATGCATTAATTTTGGTAAAAGGAAAGGCAAATACTGGGAAGAATGAAATGTACTACACAGGAAAAAAGCCTTAAGTTTAGTTATTAGATTCCATGATCATCTTACCCAAGCAATTATAGACCAGCCTGTAGTTGAAACACAAGCCATTTTTCCCTGAATAAACAGCAACCCCAACAGCTAGATTCCCATCTCTGCTCCATAGCAATTTGAGATGACAGGAGATGGAAATAGAAGACCTAAAAGTTTAATAATAAAAGGAGGATGATATCCTCAATCAAATAGTCTCACCACAAAGAAAATTCTCTTTGAAAAATCAAACTTGGCCAAAATTCAATTTCAAAAGATTATGACTCACTATAACTTTATGTATGAGCTTCATTGTAATAAATTAAAATATGGGTGAAGACTGACTTCATCTGGTCAAGAAGTAGCATTTCTCTAGTAGTTCCTGCTTTATCTATGAGGAAAATTTCCATGAAAAGTTGTTTCAATTATTCATGAATAGTCTCTAAAAATAACTACAAACATCCAAAACCTGTAAATAATGATTACGGGGATCACTAGCTAAAGAGCACTGGATCCAGGGAAACCTACATCAAGGACACATCATTTAAAAATCCTTGGAAAATCTGCTAACTCTATCTCCCACAACCCGGTGTGTGCTCTCCCCTCTCCATCTTTTTTTGTTGTTGTTTTTTCTGAGACTGTTTCACTCTGTCACCCAGGCTGGAGTGCAATGGCACGATCTTGGCTCACTGTAACCGCCGCCTCTGAGGTTCAAGTGATTCTCCTACCTCAGCCTCCTAAGTAGCTGGGATTACAGGTGCACACAACCATGTCCAGCTAAGTTTTGTATCTTTAGTAGAGATGGGGTTTCACCATGTTGGCCAGGCTAGTCTCCAACTCCTGACCTCAGGTGATCCACCCACCTTAGCCTCCCAAAGTGCTGGGATTACAGGCATGAGCCACCGCACCTGGCCCCTCCCCCTGTCTTTTGTTCTCCATTCCTATCCTTTGTTTTTTCCTCTCAATTTTATCCTTGAGTCTTTCTCCGCCATCTGGTTCCAGCCTTTATTCTCCCACTAAGGAAAATACATTAAACATATTAAACATATATTACTTGTTATATTTATTCAATATGCATTAAATTGTCTGCGCTTTTACTTCCTGCTGCTTTCTTTTAAGGGTCACAGTGCATTATATTTTTAGGGGTTCTTTCTTCTTAAAAAATAATCTTAGAAAATTCAGAAATTAGGCCGGGTGAGGTGGCTCACGTCTGTAATCCCACCACTTTGGGAGGCCAAGGCAAGCGAATCACCTGAGGTCAGGAGTTCGAGACCAGCCTGACCAACATGGAGTCACCCCATCTCTACTAAAAATACAAAACTAGCCAGGTGTGGCGGCGCATGCCTGTAATCCCAGCTACTCAGGAGGCTGAGGCAAGAGAATCACTTGAACCCGGGAGGCAGAGGTTGAATTACCTGTAGTTCCCTGAGCAAGTCACTATAGCTCTGGCCACTATGCTTTACACCCATGCTGTTTCCTCTACCTAAAATGACCTCT